AAATTAATTACTGCGGCTATAAATAATTTATTAATTTTTAAAATTAATAAAATTTCACACAAAAATTTACATATAAATCAAATTAATAACAAATTTTTAAGCCAAAATAAAACTTTAATATATTAATTTAATAAGTATTTATAAAAATTTTACAAATTTTAATTAATTTAATAACTTATAATAATAATTTATTCCTAAAAAATTTTATTTTATTTTAATAATTAATTTTAATCACTAAATCTGATAATATAAATGACCCCTTTATAAATTATTATAATTTTTTAAAAAAATTATTAATTTAATCATTATTAACTATTTTAATAAAAAAAAATCTCAAAAAAATTTTTAAAGCAATTTTATTATAAATATTACATTTTAGTAAATTTTAATTTAAATTAAAATTAATATACAATAATTTGTAAAAATCATAAATTTTTATAAATTAACAAATTTATTTTTATTTTGTTTATATGTTGCCGACTACGGTGGAGTGGACATTTCCTTAACTTCATGGGTGGATAACAAAATTGTTACTTTGGCATCCAATTACGCTGGAATAAGTCCCAAAGACACAGTCCGACGTTACAATAAAGTCCAAAAGGATTATATTCATATTGACCGTCCATTTGCAATAGCACAATATAATAGATATATGGGTGGCGTTGATCTCATAGATAGCATAATAGGAAGGTATAAAATTTGGATAAGAAGCAGACGTTGGCAAGTTCGGGTTTTTTATCACCTGCTGGACTTGACAGTCAGCAACGCTTGGTTGTTGTATAAACGAGTGCAAAAAGAAAATGCATCGACAAAAAAACTTTTAAGCCCATCAGAGTTTCGGCTAGACATCGCTGAAGTTTTGAGAAAAGTAGACATAAAATGTAAAACTGGAAAGCGAAGTTATTCTGTTGAAAATGAATTGCAGAAAAAAAGCAGAGAGGTCCAACTCAACATGTACCAAATCAAATGGTGCGTCAAGATCAGGTTGGGCATTGGCCAACGTGGACTGACAACAGAACCAGATGCAAATATCCAAACTGCACTGGCTTTTCACAGACAAAGTGCGAAAAATGTGGCGTAGCACTCTGCTTTAACAAAAGAAATAATTGTTTCAAAAATTTTCATTTACATTAAAATAACTCCACTTTTTTACTTAAATGTGTTATATAATTAATTAATAATATTATCTAACTAACTTTGAAAAATATTTTGTTTTACCTCTTACAATACACTATGAAATACTTCAATTATTTTCACCACAACCCTATCTGTTGCATATATGCAACAATCCTTTTATCCTTAAATAAATGACTAAAAAAGTAAAATTTCAAAAAAAAGAAAGAAGTTGAATTATTTATTTTTATTTTTCTTTCTAATGAAATAAGCTACATCAAAATCCGACAAGGTGCCATATAAAGGGTTAACTTGAAAATATTTTCGATAGTACTATCGATACTATTGAATAATTGTTCTAAAACCAATGTTGAATGTTGCAACCATCGATAGTTTGACAGCTCTACTTCATTGGCTAAAAGCCATACATTTAATTTTAATTATATTTAATATTTTTTTGTTTTGTTATAGTCCATGAAGGATCTCATTATTGTAAACATCTGAATTGTTTATTAAAATTTTTATTTTTGTTTTTAAATATGCATTTATTTAGTTTGTTTTTTAGTACTATCGATACTATTGAATAATATATGCAAAACCATCGAAACTAGTGAATATTGCAACCATCGATAGTTTTACAGCTCTACTTCATTGGCTAAAAGCCATACATTTAATTTTAATAATATTTAATATTTTTTTGTTTTGTTATAGTCCATGAAGGATCTCATTATTGTAAATATCTGAATTGTTTATTAAAATTTTTATTTTTATTTTTAAATATGCATTTATTTAGTTTGTTTTTTAACTTGAAAATATTTTCGATAGTACTATCGATACTATTGAATAATTGTTGCAAAACCATCGAAACTATTGAATGTTGCAACCATCGATAGTTTTACAGCTCTACTTCATTGGCTAAAAGCCATACATTAATAATTGTTTCAAAAATTTTCATTTACATTAAAATAACTCCACTTTTTTACTTAAATGTGTTACATAATTAATTAATAATATTATCTAACTAACTTTGAAAAATATTTTGTTTTACCTCTTACAATACACTATGAAATACTTCAATTATTTTCACCACAACCCTGTCTGTTGCATATATGCAACAATCCTTTTATCCTTAAATAAATGACTAAAAAAGTAAAATTTCAAAAAAAAGAAAGAAGTTGAATTATTTTTATTTTTCTTTCTAATGAAATAAGCTACATCAAAATCCGACAAGGTGCCATATAAAGGGTTAACTTGAAAATATTTTCGATAGTACTATCGATACTATTTAATAATTGTTGTAAAACCATCGAAACTATTGAATGTTGCAACCATCGATAGTTTGACAGCTCTACTTCATTGGCTAAAAGCCATACATTTAATTTTAATTATATTTAATATTTTTTTGTTTTGTTATAGTCCATGAAGGATCTCATTATTGTAAACATCTGAATTGTTTATTAAAATTTTTATTTTTGTTTTTAAATATGCATTTATTTAGTTTGTTTTTTAGTACTATCGATACTATTGAATAATTGTTGCAAAACCATCGAAACTATTGAATGTTGCAACCATCGATAGTTTTACAGCTCTACTTCATTGGCTAAAAGCCATACATTTATCTTTAATTATATTTAATATATTTTTGTTTTATTATAGTCCATGAAGGATCTCATTTGACAGCTCTACTTCATTGGCTAACAGCCATACATTTAATTTTAATTATATTTAATATTTTTTTGTTTTGTTATAGTCCATGAAGGATCTCATTATTGTAAACATCTGAATTGTTTATTAAAATTTTTATTTTTATTTTTAAATATGCATTTATTTAGTTTGTTTTTTAACTTGAAAATATTTTCGATAGTACTATCGATACTATTGAATAATTGTTGCAAAACCATCGAAACTATTGAATGTTGCAACCATCGATAGTTTTACAGCTCTACTTCATTGGCTAAAAGCCATACATTTATCTTTAATTATATTTAATATATTTTTGTTTTATTATAGTCCATGAAGGATCTCATTTGACAGCTCTACTTCATTGGCTAACAGCCATACATTTAATTTTAATTATATTTAATATTTTTTTGTTTTGTTATAGTCCATGAAGGATCTCATTATTGTAAACATCTGAATTGTTTATTAAAATTTTTATTTTTATTTTTAAATATGCATTTATTTAGTTTGTTTTTTAACTTGAAAATATTTTCGATAGTACTATCGATACTATTGAATAATTGTTGCAAAACCATCGAAACTATTGAGTGTTGCAACCATGGATAGTTTTTCAGCTCTACTTCAATGGCCGACATACCTTGGGATCTTTTAGCACTAATGGAACCTGTGCCTTTTGGCACAGCGTGGAGCAGAGTTTACGCAGCAAGCACAACCATACATGACAATGTATGTATATGTATAGTGTATGTATGTGTGTTTGTGTGAGGATTTATCTAAGTGCGTTTTTTGTAATTTTTATTTCAGGAAGCCATGCAAGAGGTTTGGGTTGCATATAAAGAGTGGATACGGGCGGCTGCCAGAACTGAAACCACCAAAAATTCATTTGTTTCTTGCTTACTCTCTCGCGCTTTCTACTAAGTTATGGCAGGTGCACCAGTCACTTTGCAGTCAGCAGTGGAGCTTACTCATCCAGGCGGCGCAATGCTAATACATGTACAATGGAGCAGAGTTTACGCAGCAGGCGCAACCATACATGTACAGCTGGACAATGACAATGTATGTATATGTATAGTGTATGTATGTGTGTTTGTGTGAGGATTTATCTAAGTGCGTTTTTTGTAATTTTTATTTCAGGAAGCCATGCAAGAGGTTTGGGTTGCATGTAAAGAGTGGATACGGGCGGCTGCCAGAACTGAAACCACCAAAAATTCATTTGTTTCTTGCTTACTCTCTCGCGCTTTCTACTAAGTTATGGCAGGTGCACCAGTCACTATGCAGTCAGCAGTGGAGCTTACACATCCAGGCGGCACAATGCTAATACATGTACAATGTAGCAGAGTTTACGCAGCAGGCGCAACCATACATGTACAGTTGGACAATGAAAATGTATGTATATGTATAGTGTATGTATGTGTGTTTGTGTGAGGATTTATCTAAGTGCGTTTTTTGTAATTTTTATTTCAGGAAGCCATGCAAGAGGTTTGGGTTGCATATAAAGAGTGGATACGGGCGGCTGCCAGAACTGAAACCACCAAAAATTCATTTGTTTCTTGCTTACTCTCTCGCGCTTTCTACTAAATTATGGCAGGTGCACCAGTCACTTTGCAGTCAGCAGTGGAGCTTACTCATCCAGGCGGCGCAATGCTAATACATGTACAATGGAGCAGAGTTTACGCAGCAGTCGCAACCATACATGTACAGCTGGACAATGACAATGTATGTATATGTATAGTGTATGTATGTGTGTTTGTGTGAGGATTTATCTAAGTGCGTTTTTTGTAATTTTTATTTCAGGAAGCCATGCAAGAGGTTTGGGTTGCATATAAAGAGTGGATACGGGCGGCTGCCAGAACTGAAACCACCAAAAATTCATTTGTTTCAGTTGAACCAGTCACTATGCAGTCAGCAGTTGTGTCGAATCGAGTGCGGCACCCACTCATCCACTGAGTCAGAGCGATTGTTCAGCAAAGCTGGACAGATTATCACGGAACGACGAGCCTTAAAAGCTAAGCATGTGGACATGCTTCTTTTTCTTCATCATAACTCTTGGATCTTGGCAGAAGACTAAAAGCCATACATTTAATTTTAATTATATTTAATATTTTTTTGTTTTGTTATAGTCCATGAAGGATCTCATTATTGTAAACATTTGAATTGTTTATTAAAATTTTTATTTTTATTTTTAAATATGCATTTATTTAGTTTGTTTTTTAACCCTTTATATGGCAGTGTTGCATATCTGCAACATACCCTTTAAAAGATATTTTTTCGCAATGCAAATCGAAAAAATCGAATGTGGCTATATGTTGTACATCTGAAACAAACGTATTTTATAAATGATTTGCTTTGGGCACATTTCTAGATGTTTTGTAAAACATATGTTCACTTTCCCGCCAATTTTGTGAGAAGCACATGTTGAGTGCGCTGAAAAAATTGTGTTGCAAAATTTTATTAAAAATATAGATATTTCTTTACGAAAAACTTAAGAAAAACAAAGGTAAATATGTTTCAAATGCATGTGCTATCAAGTTTTCACGTTTCTTGTTGTGTATTGTGTGTAGATTCGAAAAATCGGTATGTTGCAGATATACATCAAACAAGTATTCGAAGTTATATTGTGCAGAATTTATTTTGTTGTATTTATGCAACATAGAGTGTTTGTGTTTATATTATATGTTGTTATGTGTTTATACATATGGTTATATGTTGTTGTTATGTGTCATAGAACTTGTCTTGGGTTTGTTGTATGTGTTTTATGAGACTACATATATAAATAGTACTTCTTACGCAGGAAATATGTCAGGAAAAGGTTTAACACCTTCACAGGTTGAAAATTATTTCAACAGTTTAGATAGCGAGGATGAACTTGACTTTTCTGCTGATGAAGAAAGCGATTTTTATCCAGATGAGAAAGATGCAGGTAGTACGGATGAAGATGACATCGATGACCAAAATCCACCGAGTAATGCCTTAGACGTTTCAAACTCAAATCTCGTAGATGATTCTGAGCCAAATGTTAAAAGTAATAACCCTGATCTGAAAAGAAACTTGCTATGGAGAAAACGCAGTTTAATTTTGAACGAAAATCAACTGCAGTTTCTCGGGAGTACTATGTTGCATCCGGAACTAATGGATCTATCAGAGCCAATACAATTCTTTTGGTATCTTTTTCCAAAAAACCTGTTTGATGAAATTACAATCGAAACAAATCTTTCTATTCGCCAAAAAGACCCTAACGCACATGTCAATTTTACGTCCTTAGATATTCGACAGTTTGTTGGAATAATATTATACATGTCAATTTCGCGTCTTCCAAGAATTACTCAATATTGGTCAACAATAATTGGAGTACCAGCGATACAGAATATTATGTCGCAAAAAACATTTGAGATGATGAGGCGTCACATTCACTTTAACAACAATGATAATGCTCTGCCTTTGTCACACTCCTGTCACGATCGGCTATTCAAAATCAGGCCAATAATAGATGAACTAAACAAAAATTTTAAAAAAGTTCCTATGGAACAATTTTTGTGTGTTGATGAACTGATATGTTCAACAAAGGCTAAGAACCACATGAAAAGGTACAATCCCAACAATCCATCGATAGTTTGACAGCTCTACTTCATTGGCTAAAAGCCATACATTTAATTTTAATTATATTTAATATTTTTTTGTTTTGTTATAGTCCATGAAGGATCTCATTATTGTAAACATCTGAATTGTTTATTAAAATTTTTATTTTTGTTTTTAAATATGCATTTATTTAGTTTGTTTTTTAGTACTATCGATACTATTGAATAATATATGCAAAACCATCGAAACTATTGAATGTTGCAACCATCGATAGTTTGACAGCTCTACTTCATTGGCCATACATGTACAGCTGGACAATGACAATGTATGTATATGTATAGTGTATGTATGTGTGTTTGTGTGAGCATTTATCTAAGTGCGTTTTTTGTAATTTTTATTTCAGGAAGCCATGCAAGAGGTTTGGGTTGCATATAAAGAGTGGATACGGGCGGCTGCCAGAACTGAAACCACCAAAAATTCATTTGTTTCAGTTGAACCAGTCACTATACAGTCAGCAGTTGTGTCGAATCGAGTGCGGCACCCACTCATCCACTGAGTCAGAGCGATTGTTCAGCAAAGCTGGACAGATTATCACGGAACGACGAGCCTTAAAAGCTAAGCATGTGGACATGCTTCTTTTTCTTCATCATAACTCTTGGATCTTGGCAGAAGACTAAAAGCCATACATTTAATTTTAATTATATTTAATATTTTTTTGTTTTGTTATAGTCCATGAAGGATCTCATTATTGTAAACATTTGAATTGTTTTTTAAAAATTTTAATTTTTATTTTTAAATATGCATTTATTTAGTTTGTTTTTTAACCCTTTATATGGCAGTGTTGCAAATCGAAAAAATCGAATGTGGCTATATGTTGTACATCTGAAACAAACGTATTTTATAAATGATTTGCTTTGGGCACATTTCTAGATGTTTTGTAAAACATATGTTCACTTTCCCGCCAATTTTGTGAGAAGCACATGTTGAGTGCGCTGAAAAAATTGTGTTGCAAAATTTTATTAAAAATATAGATATTTCTTTACGAAAAACTTAAGAAAAACAAAGGTAAATATGTTTCAAATGCATGTGCTATCAAGTTTTCACGTTTCTTGTTGTGTATTGTGTGTAGATTCGAAAAATCGGTATGTTGCAGATATACATCAAACAAGTATTCGAAGTTATATTGTGCAGAATTTATTTTGTTGTATTTATGCAACATAGAGTGTTTGTGTTTATATTATATGTTGTTATGTGTTTATACATATGGTTATATGTTGTTGTTATGTGTCATAGAACTTGTCTTGGGTTTGTTGTATGTGTTTTATGAGACTACATATATAAATAGTACTTCTTACGCAGGAAATATGTCAGGAAAAGGTTTAACACCTTCACAGGTTGAAAATTATTTCAACAGTTTAGATAGCGAGGATGAACTTGACTTTTCTGCTGATGAAGAAAGCGATTTTTATCCAGATGAGAAAGATGCAGGTAGTACGGATGAAGATGACATCGATGACCAAAATCCACCGAGTAATGCCTTAGACGTTTCAAACTCAAATCTCGTAGATGATTCTGAGCCAAATGTTAAAAGTAATAACCCTGATCTGAAAAGAAACTTGCTATGGAGAAAACGCAGTTTAATTTTGAACGAAAATCAACTGCAGTTTCTCGGGAGTACTATGTTGCATCCGGAACTAATGGATCTATCAGAGCCAATACAATTCTTTTGGTATCTTTTTCCAAAAAACCTGTTTGATGAAATTACAATCGAAACAAATCTTTCTATTCGCCAAAAAGACCCTAACGCACATGTCAATTTTTATTTTTAAATATGCATTTATTTAGTTTGTTTTTTAACCCTTTATATGGCAGTGTTGCATATCTGCAACATACCCTTTAAAAGATATTTTTTCGCAATGCAAATCGAAAAAATCGAATGTGGCTATATGTTGTACATCTGAAACAAACGTATTTTATAAATGATTTGCTTTGGGCACATTTCTAGATGTTTTGTAAAACATATGTTCACTTTCCCGCCAATTTTGTGAGAAGCACATGTTGAGTGCGCTGAAAAAATTGTGTTGCAAAATTTTATTAAAAATATAGATATTTCTTTACGAAAAACTTAAGAAAAACAAAGGTAAATATGTTTCAAATGCATGTGCTATCAAGTTTTCACGTTTCTTGTTGTGTATTGTGTGTAGATTCGAAAAATCGGTATGTTGCAGATATACATCAAACAAGTATTCGAAGTTATATTGTGCAGAATTTATTTTGTTGTATTTATGCAACTTAGAGTGTTTGTGTTTATATTATATGTTGTTATGTGTTTATACATATGGTTATATGTTGTTGTTATGTGTCATAGAACTTGTCTTGGGTTTGTTGTATGTGTTTTATGAGACTACATATATAAATAGTACTTCTTACGCAGGAAATATGTCAGGAAAAGGTTTAACACCTTCACAGGTTGAAAATTATTTCAACAGTTTAGATAGCGAGGATGAACTTGACTTTTCTGCTGATGAAGAAAGCGATTTTTATCCAGATGAGAAAGATGCAGGTAGTACGGATGAAGATGACATCGATGACCAAAATCCACCGAGTAATGCCTTAGACGTTTCAAACTCAAATCTCGTAGATGATTCTGAGCCAAATGTTAAAAGTAATAACCCTGATCTGAAAAGAAACTTGCTATGGAGAAAACGCAGTTTAATTTTGAACGAAAATCAACTGCAGTTTCTCGGGAGTACTATGTTGCATCCGGAACTAATGGATCTATCAGAGCCAATACAATTCTTTTGGTATCTTTTTCCAAAAAACCTGTTTGATGAAATTACAATCGAAACAAATCTTTCTATTCGCCAAAAAGACCCTAACGCACATGTCAATTTTACGTCCTTAGATATTCGACAGTTTGTTGGAATAATATTATACATGTCAATTTCGCGTCTTCCAAGAATTACTCAATATTGGTCAACAATAATTGGAGTACCAGCGATACAGAATATTATGTCGCAAAAAACATTTGAGATGATGAGGCGTCACATTCACTTTAACAACAATGATAATGCTCTGCCTTTGTCACACTCCTGTCACGATCGGCTATTCAAAATCAGGCCAATAATAGATGAACTAAACAAAAATTTTAAAAAAGTTCCTATGGAACAATTTTTGTGTGTTGATGAACTGATATGTTCAACAAAGGCTAAGAACCACATGAAAAGGTACAATCCCAACAATCCATCGATAGTTTGACAGCTCTACTTCATTGGCTAAAAGCCATACATTTAATTTTAATTATATTTAATATTTTTTTGTTTTGTTATAGTCCATGAAGGATCTCATTATTGTAAACATCTGAATTGTTTATTAAAATTTTTATTTTTGTTTTTAAATATGCATTTATTTAGTTTGTTTTTTAGTACTATCGATACTATTGAATAATATATGCAAAACCATCGAAACTATTGAATGTTGCAACCATCGATAGTTTGACAGCTCTACTTCATTGGCCATACATGTACAGCTGGACAATGACAATGTATGTATATGTATAGTGTATGTATGTGTGTTTGTGTGAGCATTTATCTAAGTGCGTTTTTTGTAATTTTTATTTCAGGAAGCCATGCAAGAGGTTTGGGTTGCATATAAAGAGTGGATACGGGCGGCTGCCAGAACTGAAACCACCAAAAATTCATTTGTTTCAGTTGAACCAGTCACTATACAGTCAGCAGTTGTGTCGAATCGAGTGCGGCACCCACTCATCCACTGAGTCAGAGCGATTGTTCAGCAAAGCTGGACAGATTATCACGGAACGACGAGCCTTAAAAGCTAAGCATGTGGACATGCTTCTTTTTCTTCATCATAACTCTTGGATCTTGGCAGAAGACTAAAAGCCATACATTTAATTTTAATTATATTTAATATTTTTTTGTTTTGTTATAGTCCATGAAGGATCTCATTATTGTAAACATTTGAATTGTTTATTAAAATTTTTATTTTTATTTTTAAATATGCATTTATTTAGTTTGTTTTTTAACCCTTTATATGGCAGTGTTGCAAATCGAAAAAATCGAATGTGGCTATATGTTGTACATCTGAAACAAACGTATTTTATAAATGATTTGCTTTGGGCACATTTCTAGATGTTTTGTAAAACATATGTTCACTTTCCCGCCAATTTTGTGAGAAGCACATGTTGAGTGCGCTGAAAAAATTGTGTTGCAAAATTTTATTAAAAATATAGATATTTCTTTACGAAAAACTTAAGAAAAACAAAGGTAAATATGTTTCAAATGCATGTGCTATCAAGTTTTCACGTTTCTTGTTGTGTATTGTGTGTAGATTCGAAAAATCGGTATGTTGCAGATATACATCAAACAAGTATTCGAAGTTATATTGTGCAGAATTTATTTTGTTGTATTTATGCAACATAGAGTGTTTGTGTTTATATTATATGTTGTTATGTGTTTATACATATGGTTATATGTTGTTGTTATGTGTCATAGAACTTGTCTTGGGTTTGTTGTATGTGTTTTATGAGACTACATATATAAATAGTACTTCTTACGCAGGAAATATGTCAGGAAAAGGTTTAACACCTTCACAGGTTGAAAATTATTTCAACAGTTTAGATAGCGAGGATGAACTTGACTTTTCTGCTGATGAAGAAAGCGATTTTTATCCAGATGAGAAAGATGCAGGTAGTACGGATGAAGATGACATCGATGACCAAAATCCACCGAGTAATGCCTTAGACGTTTCAAACTCAAATCTCGTAGATGATTCTGAGCCAAATGTTAAAAGTAATAACCCTGATCTGAAAAGAAACTTGCTATGGAGAAAACGCAGTTTAATTTTGAACGAAAATCAACTGCAGTTTCTCGGGAGTACTATGTTGCATCCGGAACTAATGGAACTATCAGAGCCAATACAATTCTTTTGGTATCTTTTTCCAAAAAACCTGTTTGATGAAATTACAATCGATACAAATCTTTATATTCGCCAAAA